GGGGGCCTCCCCAGCAAATTTTTAAAGTTGAGAGGCTCTCTGGTGTATTTTAGAGCCCGATTTCTGAGCAACTAACCAACGAACTAATACTGATTTTGTTTCGATACATTCATGTGCCCATCGGTACATTTTACGACTGAGAAAATAAAATACATGCATTGTAAATATGTTCGTAAATTTCACAAAACGGGGTGAACAAGTTCGCGAAGAATTTTAGTTCGTGAAACAAAAGAACCAGATAAAAAAGGAGATGCCACCTCTTGATAGACAACCCGCTGGACCACCGTATGCGATAAAATGCGCACAATCACGGGCATCACGTGAGCCATGGTGGGATTGTACTGCACACATGGACCCAGATGGGACAGGCAAGAAAGGGACAGACAAGATAAAGCAGAGATGAAGATGCGACTGAGATTGACTCCAGATGTGCTCCCGCCACCCGGCCAATACTGACCAATAATAGCACAGAACTCCACTGATGTCATGGGTGCTCTCGTGTCCAGGTTAGACAATAGAAATCCTGGGTACGACGTTGACCCAACAGGTTATCCGCGGTTTGCTGGGTTCGTCCGCTACGACTTACGAAAAATGGGAGTCCAGACTACGATTTACGGGGAATTTTTAGGCTCAATTACGCTTTACGTGAAATGCGCTGGCTACGCTTTACGGGAAATTTTCGCCTCCTCACTACGAAATACGGTAAATAAAATAACTTCCCTACGAATTACGGGAAATTAAAGAGGCCCGCCTACGCCTTACGGAAAAGAGCATGCAGACCCTCCTACAGGAGTAGCACTTCTACCAGGTCTGTTGAGCTGGACTGGGGAAAAAATTAGAGCCCTGAAGACAGCCTGCCCTAACCACCATAGACTGGTTACCAGAGATGTCATGTTATAAGATGTACATGTAGATGTACTTTCCATCATGCTCTCATTATAACAGGTTTTTGTCTGACCACCTACATGACTTTGTACATGACAATGTAGCTTTTGTGTCTCAAGTGAACAAACTTACAAAGACTAGATACTACTAGTGAATTAGTGACTAGAGAATTATCCACAATTTACCTTCAGATCATCACCCCCTCCAACAAGAAATATGTCCCCCCTCCCCTACCCTCTCTAGATCTACTTGGCTTTAACTCTACATGTACTTGACCTGGCTAGTCATCTTAGCCAAAGATATAAACCCCATCAAAGTCCACATCAGGACTCCCCCTAACTCCTGCTACTTAAGTTACCTTGCTTTTGTATTATTTAGTAACTTTTGTAACTTTATAAGTTACTTTTGTTGATTATTTGTATTAGTTTGAGTTTGATGTTTTTGTTTGGGGTCTTCCCCAGGCCCAGGGCTCATTGAAAAGCGCCCCACGGGCGATATGTATCCCCCTGGTTAAATAAATAAAAACAAACAAACAAACAAACAAACAAACAACGTTAACTTTGAACATTAGGAGAGCAAAATCATTGAAAATGTAGAGGAAAGGATTTCAGTGTTGTATTTCAAATCCTTGTCTGCAGAGCAAGGTGAATGTTTTCTTTCAATCAGTGTGGGTCCCAGGGGAGAAAACTCTCTACTCTCTACTCTTAAAAAAACAGGCCTGGCTGGGTCATCTGGTACCAGAATGGATCACTGCAACACTGTAGGTCTTGCTTCAGTGTCTCGCCTATTCAATGTACAGGGCTCGGATGTATGTGCACCTTGGAGCTGTGCACCCATTTTTTTTATGTGGGTGTTAATGTACATAGTACATGTAGTTACAACATAAAGAATTCAATCATCGTTACAGTACTTTTCTTGAAATGAAACATAATTATAGTTTTTGCAGACATATTTTTGTTCACCCAATTTTTTAGGTTGGGTGCACCAGTGTCTTTTCCCAAAAATGAATTTCAAGCCCTGATGTATATGCCCTTGTTATAACAGCAGATTTTCTATTGTACACAGTTTTAACTTGCTTCCGATCATGTCTGAACGTTACTTGACATGACAAGACAATTATTCACTCCTCTTTCTTGTTTTTTTTTCATAATTTCCAGAGGAAAAGACCATTTTCTTGTCTTCAAGTGCTACTTTATTCTTTTGGTATTTAGTATGATCTGGTGGGGAAATGTCTGGCTAACCCTAATTACAATGTAGCTTTTGTGTCTCAAGTGAACAAACTTACAAAGACTAGATACTACTAGTGAATTAGTGACTAGAGAATTATCCACAATTTACCTTCAGATCATCACCCCCTCCAACGAGAAATATGTCCCCCCTCCCCTACCCTCTCTAGATCTACTTGGCTACTCTACATGTACTTGACCTGGCTAGTCAAGGAAAACATAAGGGCCTCGTACATGCTCATATACATGTATGTGGATCCTGTGCAAAACTGCTCACTATTCGCTATTCAGAGACCCTCTTCAGAGCATTATCTGACTACGCACTCTCTTGTGCTAAATCCAAGGGCTCTTTTTATGTAACTAAAAGTCAGAGGGACCATGTTGGGATTTGTTTAATTCCAACTCTTCATTGCAGTAGCATATGTTAGCCTAAATTAGAAGTATGGCAATGTCAAGTATTAAAGGTTGCAATGACTGTTGTCATGCATCTGAGACCAGATATAATTTTTAAGAACCATGAGTATCATGAGTATAGAATTAGCTTTCTTGAGATTACTTTACTTGTACGTACACTACAGACACACTCATATTTAAACTGCAAACAATTCTTGCAAAAGACCTTAAAAATATAAGTATTCCCCTGCAACAAGATACTATAATCATGAAAAGCACTTGGAAGGTACAAGACAGGAAAATAGATACTCTTGACCCTTCGGTGACCAGTCAATGGAATGTCAAAGTCCCCTTGTGGTTTATTGATGCTGGTTTTACGCTTTCCTGCATAGCTCAAACAAAACATCAGTTACATGTATGTTCTAGCCTGGAATCTTCAAATCTGTATGTGCATATCTCATCATTACTTTGTGGAGCATTTTTAACTCAAAATTATCTTACAGATCTCAAGCAGGACAAATGGAAATACATCCAGTTCCCTAACAACTGGCAAGAAAATTTACCTACAGGGAAAAAGGTTGGGTGACACAGGCTAAAGGTTGTTCTCCTGAGACTATAGAGGTCTCCTCTATCTATGGGCTAGATAGATAAGCTATGAAAACATGTGGTAGTGATTACAGTTTGGTGGTCAAGAGGGGCTCTCTGGCCCCTTACTGTGAAGACTTACATTAAAAGCCGTGAATTTGTTTGGATAAGTGTGGAGGCGGGGCATAGAAAATTGTTAAATAAACCCAGTAGCACCCCAAGCTACCTTGGTGATAAGTTCTTCCAAGGGTAGTTGTCCAGGGCCACACAGTCTCACAGTACATGTAGCAATTCAACTACTAAAATCATGTCCCAAGTTCTAACAAGGCTTTATTCTTCTTTCTTTCCTCTTGACTAAATAGTGACAAATCAATAGATAATAATCAGAGTCTGGTGTTCAAGACCAGTATCCTTTTGTGTTGACCCACAAAAAGTGCTGACCTACAGCCATCAGCTGAGATGGTCAGATGAAAAAAACAAGAAAGATGAGGTTGGGGAAGTGGATGGTGCAGCAGCTGCTCCAACCATTACACAGCCCCCAAATCCCGAGGACATCCAGTCTGAGAGTCTTGCAGATTTGCAGAACTTCAAAGTAGGATAGGAGAGACATTTGTGAAGGGTTGAAACTTGATTTTAGAGTGTGATCGAGCCATGATTTAGTGGCATAGAAGCTGCTAGTTGCTAGGCCTAGGATAGCTGCTAGAAGTTGCTAGGCCGAAATCAAAAAGCAAAAAGTATGGTGCAAAGCTACATGTATCTGAATGCCGAATTGTGGGGCATTGGGTTGTCATGAAAAGGAACAAAAGCCAATAATATGCATTTCCGACAATTTTTACCCAAATCAAGCTAGTACATTGTAGTAACATCTGTAGGGACAAATTATATGTTTTGTGGGACAATTTCAAAGTATTGTATGAAATCTTTTTTAAGAATTTAGATTTCTGCGCAGAAATCTGTGCAGAATTCTGCAGATTTCTGCAGAATTCTGCAGATTTCTGCAGAAATCTTTGTCGCCGTGTGTCAATGGAATTTCCCTTGTGGTTCATTCAACTGATAATGCTGGGTACTAGCCCGAGTGTCAGCCTTTGTAGCTTTCGTCCGCTCCCCACACTCTACAGGTAGCATAGTGGGGAGTAGACGAAAGATAAAAAGGCTGACACTCAGGCTAGCTGGTTACGGGATCTGGTCTTATGCTTGCCTGTATAGCTCAAAGAATTACGTCTGTTATGTTGTATGTCCTCATCTGTAATGTGTATAGCTCATCATCACTTTTTGAATTGTTTTACTTCATAAATTACTTTAAATATCACAATTTTTTCAAGAAATGAAAAGAAAAGAACAACATACAGTGCAAAGCTATCCCCATGGCAAATTGCAGGGCACTTGGCAAAAGCTGGGCATTTCCGACAAGTTATGCCCAAAATACATGTAACCTGATTGTAGCATTTGTAGGAGAGTGTATCTACCACTTATCACCATAATGATACATTTTGTAGGACAAATCCTTAAAAAAGCAGATTTCTGCAGAAATCTGCACAGATTTCTGCACCCAGCGCAGAATTCTGTGCAGAAATCTGCGCGGGGTGCAGAATTCTGCGCAGAATTCTGCAGAAATCTGCAGAAATAACCTGATCCCTAGGGAACTATCATTGTTATCTACATAGTTGTTGTCATCTTCTACATCACAATATGGAATGTCAATTGTCCAGGACAAACTATGCTTGAAAAGTGAGAGGTAGTCCGGAATTAGAGTGTCTGTCCGGAATTAAAGTGTCGCCTGTTTATTATATAATATACATTGTATACCAGCTTACAAAGCTGCTTGACTGTTTGTCATAATGTTGTAGAGGTTTCCAAGTCGTTTTGAATGTGAACTGACCAGTATTTGATCTTCTGTGCTGTCTTACATAGGTACAAGAAGACATCGGAGACCCTGTCTGTCGCCGGCCAGAAGACAGCCCAGGCCTCCGCAGCTGCCTGGCAGTCCATGTCTCGCAAACTCGGAGAGATGAAGTAAACAATCTTCTCATTAATTTTACTGTTTGTTTGTTTGTTTGTTTGAGCCTTTGTTTATTCATGATACTGTAATACTCAAATTGCCCTGTTTGATGCTTTAATATCCTACCTTACACATATTTTTCAATAAAGTTTATTAGATTTTTAGTTTTGAGCATATGGCTCAGACAGTCCAAAAAGTGCATACAAACAATAATGTCTGACTCAGTAAAAAGTATACAATGTGTATGGATATGTATACCCGGTGGGGCATTGGTTCGGAAATTTGACTGAAAAGAAGCAATGTCATACCTGCTTCTGGACCAGAAAGTATAGAGTTTGAAATTGAAGATAAAATATGCTGGTTATAGGATTATGATTAATAGGATTAGGATTAATATTTTAAGTACAGTGGTCATCCCTTCATCTAAATCTTGAATGTCACTTTTCCTTTTCAAGGAACTCTCAGTCATTCAAGTCATTTGAGGAGAAGGTGGGGAGCACTGTCTCAAACCTTAAGGTAAGTACACTTACTGGCACCTTAAGAACAGGTATAGATACATGTAACTCCTCATACAAGCATTAGTTCATGACATGTACATTTGTAGCATTGTGCCCATATTTTCTATGTACAAAAAACAGTGTTTTATTCAAATGTACTTTGTATTATTGTACCATGTTGATTTAGATTGATAGGAATAGAAAAAAAACTTCAGTCTTCACAAGTCTACGAGATGTACAATATATATATGTTTGCTAAGGCTGTTGGGTTATGTAGTGGCTGCACAATTATATTAAAATACCCAGTTCAGTTCAATTTCCTGCCTATGGTGCCCACTTCCATATCATTCTGTCATCAGTTTTTGCTATATTTGTACTTTTGAGTACAGGGCAAGTTTGTATATATTGTTTGCAACTTGTTCACATGTTTGGTATCCTTAAATCTTTGTCTTATTTGACTGTCCAAATTGTCCATAGGTTGTCATACCTTTTGATTGGTTCAAAATTTATACATTTATGATTATAGACTATCAAGTTTGCTTTACAATGCATGTAACTGTTATGCTTATGCAAAAAGATGAATTTTTGCTTTTCACCTCAATGCAGTTTGCATAACTTTTGACTGGTGGGTTTTCGGGGGTTTTTTGGCGCTGTTTCATTATACTATTTCGTGCTGAGTTTCTTCTTTTTTTCTTTTTTTTCCTTATTTCTCCCTCCGTGGTTCTGTTGGTGTTGGCCCCTGTTGCAGTCCACAACTATGGGTTACATGTATGGGCCTAATTTTACTTACGTGTAGGTAGCAGTTACTTCTGTTTCTGCATGTGATGCTATCACAGTGACTTTATCGTCATTTTGAATGGGGAGGGAAATGTTATAAGGTTGGGGATGGAGGAGGAAGGATTTGGGAGGAACTTATAAAGACGTTTTCAGGTTAAGGTTCGATTCTGATATTTTTGGGGCAATGTCTTGGGCAGAGACTCACTGTGACACTTTTCCACATCCATCCATCCTTCCTTCCCTGTTCCAAAAGTTCTTGAAGTCAATTTTTAACAGCCAAACAACTATGCATATGTGTGATATTTGGAAGTTGCTTAAAATTATATATACGTCCAGGTGTATGTTTGTTTGCTAGATGTAGGATTCATTTATACATGTATTTGACATTTCTATTGTATGTTGTCATTGAACATACTTTGCATTCCATGTACAACTGTGCTGCATGAGTGTGTCTTTGTATGAGTGTGTTTTGAGACAAAATGATAAAAAAAAGATCCACAAAGAAAGGGTTTTGAAAACAATACACTGTTGTTCCAAATGTTACCAAGTCTCATCCAAACGAACAAAGGTTGAATTTGTATCGAGTCGAAATAAAATTCATACCTTGCTGTGAATGTATCTTGATAGAAAAGAAATAAGATTATGTAATTCCGTTATTTTTTTCACCTTTTTTCCAGACCAATGCCATCGGGGTAGGTTTAAGATTTTTTATTTCAATCTAAAATCATGGTTCACCCAGTTTGAATTATGGCATGGCCTGAAGTTTTTTTTCTGTTTTTTGTTCTCAAGTCTTTTTTTGTGAATGGCTTAGAAATGATGACTCTTGGCTTACATTTACTAAATGACAAAATGGTCCCATTAAGGCATGAAAGGGAATGATCAAATAGTACACTGACATGAAGGTTATAAAGTTTAACATTGTATTGAGACTGACATGTGACCTCTAACTTGATTGATTGACATCTTCAGAATGATACTCTGAAAATTTGTCTTTTTACTAATTTTCCACTACTGAATGAGTGTGTTGTGTGTATATTTGGTGAAGGGCTGATGCTTTATCAAAGTTTATGTGCTGCGCATGTGCCCGATACAGAGTGTGTTGTACGCACGTCAGCAGAACGTACTGCGCCTGTGCAGAACCCCGTATTTTCGCGTTTTTCGTTGGGTTTTTGGCCTACGTTGCATCAGAATTTTGCCTGTTGCAGAGGATATTCTTTATGACGTAACATCTGGAAACTACTGTCGAAATGCTAACCTTATATGAGCGAATACAACCTTATATGAGACATTCTGCTGAAATGCTATGTACAATACATTAAGGGTTTCGCGCAGGTGCAGTACGTTCTGCCGACGTGCTTGTGTTGTATGTGTGGAGGGCAAACGTTACATCTGTCCTGCATGGTCGATACTGAGCGTGTTTGTGTGCTGTTCCGTCCTGACGTGCCCAGGCCGTCACCATGAATGTTCTGCCTGAAGGTTTCCCTTTCTTTTTTGCCATCACTGACTTGCAGAAGGGACGTAGGCTAACCTGGGTGAGGTATTAGCGTTGTATGTACCAATCATAACTTCTAACATCACTCTGTGCATGGACGTGTGTTTATCGATGTGTCTTTCTTTCACGTTTGTTTGTTACATTTTCCAGTTGAAAGTTCTTTGACCTTGATCACGAAAAACATTTGAATTTAGCAGAAAATTTAAATCATTACCATGCCTTTCAGTGTACAATGTATGTACACGTGTAAGGCAGTGCCCTTCTCTGATTATAAGGCCCTTGGGCCACACAGTTGTGCAAGCACTACAGCAGGTGGCTAGACCACTGGTAGTGGTGTGTGTTCAACTATCATCACTCTTTCTCATAAGTGTTGACCAGAGAAAGCAGTATAGCAGAAAAGTGTTGGCTGTTCTATACTTTTTGTTTCCAAATGCATTTTGAGTCAAGGTCATACAGAACTTTACTGGAATTTGGTTAATTTCAGTTTGGTCCATTCTATACAATTTGTTGGTTAACTGTTCATGGAATGGACCATGTTGAGGGTGAATTCTTTCAGTTTTGTTCGGTGAATAAGGAACCAAAGGTGCTCTAACATGGTGTTTCATACTAGTAGTTCCATCAAGAAGGTTTTGCTAAGTTGCAGATGTAACAGTTGAAAATTGAATGTCCAAACTTTTCAAAATATGTACATTTTTAAGACTGTAAACACCATGTCTTTTGACATAGCTTTGGTTCCTTACCAATTGTTACAGTGATGTTTGTCTGGTGTCACTTTTTGCATGGATCTGTGTTATTATATAGACTGAACTATGCAAACTTCAGCATGACATGTTCTTGTTTTGTGTTATGTTGAACTGTCTGTTTTTCTATGCAGTCTGTGTTTAGAATAGTGGTGATTAGTATAAATTACAGACTCAAAGTTCGAAATTTTGTCATTACTACATGGACCTGTATGAAACATGGGTGTCCAAAATGTATTCGTATATCTTTTAGGCTTACTGAAAGTAAACATGTCAATCCTTCAGAATGTCAGCAGTGACATACAGGGAAAAAAGCCAGGCTTTTTATACCGTGGAAAACAAAAATCATGGTCCTCTTTGACAGTAAAGTGAATGTTAAAGCTTTTAAGCATGGAAGATGCCAAAGACTGAAACATAATTCGTGGCTTAAGCTTAGCCTCCTGCGCAAACATCTAACTGGTGTGTTACGCCAAAGGGCGGCTATAATGATACAGATACAGATGTAACGTGGCAGCGTTCGTTTGTACAAGTGGAAAGAAACTGGTGCTCTAGCCGCTCGTACACATGCTGCCACACTACAAGGCTGCGAAGGAGGCTAATCATGAGTTTGACTTCTCAATGTAGTTCCTTGCTCTCAACTCTTCTGTATCCCCGCAGTCGAAAGTGACGTCACCACGCGAGCCCAAGCCGACCTTCGAAGACGTTCTCAACAGCACGGCGAACGCGGACAAGCAAGACGATTCCCAGAATGCACCACCTCTCCCCGAAGAGAAGGTGCCTCTCTAAAAACAACAGCACAACCCAGAATCATCTCATATTCCATTCTCCATTTCATCAAGTACCCAACATAGGGTCACTATGGGTTTACAACTCCAAGAATGTATGTAAATTCAGTATATATATTATGTATATGTATATCTTAAACAAAAAACGAGAAAAAAAAAAGACTTGACTGAGCGCTATGTTAAGAAACTCAGTAAAAAAGTAATGAGAAAAAAGACAAAATTGTTAGTTATGACAACTTAGAGAATTTTGGGGTAAGAAATTTGAGAGGTGTTTCTCTTGGGGACCTTACTGCAATTGTAAGACTTTGAAAAATCATCTATGAAATAGGTAGTAGTATCTTGTCAGAAGTGCACAGTGTGGCAAGAGCACTCAAAACTGTGTGTTCATTTTTGCTTTGTGGCATTGAATGCCATGTAGAGTGCAAGGGAGAAAGCTAAACACAATATTAGTCTGTTATATGCTGGGGAAGAAAAATGTTCTAAAAAATCATGATTGAATAGTAATTGGTTGTGGTGTTTTCTGAGGTTTGGGGTATTTCGGTGGAAAGGGGGATGGGTGGGGGAAATGGTTAAGTTTGTTCAATTTTCAAGAAATAGAGGCTCATAGTGTTTCCGAAATATCTTGAACACCACAGTCAAGCAATGTTATACTACGTGCTGCAATTGTTGTCAGTCTAAGCAAGTTAAGGTGTAACACCAAGCTTTAAAACTGAAGCAAAATGTTAGAGTATCATTCCTTCAGCCATGTTACAGTGAAGAAAGTTACAATTGTGCGTTGTATGTTGCATCTGTATTGCTCAAATTTAGAGACAGGTTACTGTGGTATTGTGACAGGTTATGGATCTATGTAGCCGTGCAAGCTTACAATTATATTGGAAGATACAATGCAACAGAGAGTGTGTCTTTGTTTTTTCATGATCCGTCTACATTTGAGCTCTGCGCCTTGCGAAAACGCTGACCGTCAATTCTACTAGTCCGCTAACACACCCAGATAAAGACAAGGGTAGAAGAGAACAGGTTTTCAGAAGGGAAAACCTTCATTTCATAATTATGAGCATTCTTACTTCTGGTTAGCCTGATTGTCTCAAGGGAATTCAGAAAAATGGTCCATGTTTCTGATATGAAGCACATTTGAGTAGCCTCTACCAGGCTTCCGTAGGTGGCTGGAAAGAGTAGAAATCGGCCAAATAGAGAGATAGCATGCCAGGGGAGTTGGTCTGCTGGAGAGAACAGTGTGCCGCAAAATGTATTCTAGCGGACCAACTCCCTTGGCATGCTACAATGTATCTCTCTATTTGGTCAATTTCTACTCTTTCTAGCCGCCTCCTGGAGCCTGGTAGATCTAGAGGCTAACATTTGAGTTCAACCTGCAAGTTGGGTATGTGAGGTGGTATATAATACATACAATACAGTAAAAGTGGGAAGAATGGACCACACCCTGAGTAATAAATAAGCTTTAAAGTGTTCTCATATGTACATGTATGATATTTGCAAAAATAAATAGTGAACATGCTATATCTTTCTCATTTTTATTTTGCTTTTAATGAAATATGCAGCGGTTCTTTACAAAAGAGTAATACATTTGTTGTCTTGTTGCTAATTATGAACTTTTATCACCATATGATGATTTTCCTATAGTATACGTATTTATTTTATTGATGAATAACGCAGTATACACCATAATGCAAGCTCTAGAAGATTGCACATTACTTAAGTTGCTTGCTATGTTTACCTTTCCAGAAGGAAAACATTGTTTTGCACTTTTTCTTCTCCTAAACACGTGAGGTCAGTGACCTATTTTTCAATGCTGAATTCTACCACCCCTCATTAAATATGCATGCATATCAAACAAAACCACAACTTGGATAAACACACAAAAAGTACACTGTACTTGTATATACATTTAAAGGTATTACTAAGTACTAGTTGAAACCAAGTATCTAAGATAATATCATACAATACCTTCAGTTAACCATCTCTTTACATATAGTTGCATTTTTACAACTTTTTACATACATGTAGGCAGCACAGAGTCTGGATACTTGCCATTCCAACTAGTAATGATTATAGTTCTAATGAACTAGCATCATTATAGTTTAAAAAATGTCCTATTGGTCCCTGTTGGAAATTTACATGACTGACATTGACAGAACTGTCTTCAGTCTGCTACAGATTTATATATGGTATTTGTCAAAGTGTGTACATAAAATCCTTCATGTGTATCATCGAAAGATATTGAGAGCTTTTTGCTCCTGAGGTTCATATACTAAGTTTTTGCACGCCGATAGCACATACAATATTATACAAGCAATGGATAAACCATAAAGTTGGTGACACAAATTATCTTATAATAAATCATGCAGTAGTCCTAGCCTTTTGAGACTGACTGACTAGTAGTAGCACTGTAGTAGTAACATTTTGTCATATCTACAAATACATATAATGTACAATGTATGTGAAACTGAACTTCAGGCATAATATGTGTAGAAGCCAATCAAAAAGGCCCCAAAGGCCACAGGAAAAATGATCTTAGCACAGAAGTCGAGCTTCACTGCTCTTTTCTCTGCTGAGTGCACTCCGTCCTCTTCATCACCAACCCAAGCTGTGGAAGGTTTCGACAACGGTTCCACCGAAGTCTGCCACAGACCCAGGCATCCTGGCAACTACATGTGTGTGTGGCGAGAAAAAAAAAATAGAGAAAGAAATAATTAGGACAAAAACTCTGTTGTCTGAGGACTTTTCAGGCATTCTAGAGTCACAGGAAGGCCTACAATAATTTTTGGGGAAGTCTTTTTTTTTTATAGAATCATAAAATGTGTGAATTAACAGGTTTTGCATGGGGATACGAAAGGATGGCCTGTGCCAATTTTTTTAGCTGTTCACCATTACATACACCTTCCAATGCTGTACAATAAATAGTCTTGAATTGGGTCAACTTGACATTGAGAGCAACCTAGCTTTTAACATAGGTTTCCACTATACAATGTATTTTCTTGCTGTAAGGCCATGTTGATTTTATTTATATGGATGACATCCGCGCGTGCATGAATTTTCATCCGTTTCCAAAAAAAAGTTTTCAACCATACTGTAAATCATACAAAGCAGGTGCAAGATGGGCAAATGTATGCCCTGTAGTATTGGAAAAAGATACTAATAATAGTAGAATGCCATAACCTACATGTAATTATTTCAAACTATGTATTAGAAAATAATAACCTGTCCTCCTGAGAGGATGAAGTTAGCCAGGACAGTCTCCAGCAGGGCGAGCATCACCATGGCCAGACACCCGCTCATCCACACGTCATAGGCTCGCACCAGGTTCGTCTGGATATTAACAACAAACGTATCATTTAGTTAGCCTGACTAAATCTGTGCTCCCAGCCCCCCCCCCCAATTGGTGTAATACCGGGCCGGCTGCTAGGAGCACAGTCAGGCTAATCATTTATTAGTCTCTAACAGGCTCTTTGGGCTGCTGTTAAATTGCTACTGTAACACTAGCAAAAATAAGCCAGATAGGCTGAATGATTTCTGTATCTGTATCATTATAGCTGGTATAACCGCCCTTCGGTGTAACACACCAGCTTTGCAGGCACGCGGCGCGGCAGCAGCTGTCTACGTTACACCGAACGACTTTGCCTAGGGAGTTAACCAGCGCAGCATGCATTTGCAGCCCATTGGCAATTTGCTTTAATTGTTTTATTGTGGCAAACAAAAAAGTTTAGTACATAAAGATTACAGTTATAGGACAGAGCCATAGGGTTATGCATTCGTAACACATTTGCAATATGGCCCATCTCTTTACTACTAGTATTTATCATCACTTCGGCAACCTAAAAAGTTATTCTATCAAAAAGTTATTATATCAAGATTGCAATTATAGGACAGCGACAAATTTTAAGTGGCCAGTAACCGAAGTCAGCAATTGGTCAAACACTCATCAATCATCTCTATGTTCACCCTTGGTGGTAGTTTTAATGAGGCTCACCTGGGGGTTTTCTCCATAGCTGCTCTTGATGATCAGAGACAGGAGCGTGCTAATCCCCAGTGAGACCCTCCCGTTGATCTCCTGCGGATGCAGCCAGAAGCCGAGCCATGACGTCATGACCACTGACGTAGTGGGCAGGAACGTCACGAGCACGTGACTCTGCAGACGGCGGGAAAACTGCAGACGAACCTCCAGGGTGGAGACCTGAGTCAGGCCTGAGGTATGAGAACGCCATTAGTTACTACTTTCCTTTGAAATTTTTAAGAACCAATTTGCATTACTAGATAGCTTTAAAAAAGTACATATGCAAAGGTTGGGGTGTTTAATACCAGCAAGGACATTACTGGTATACTGTATATTGTCCTTGATACCTGCCATACAAATGCCTTTTGTTTCTAGTGTTTGGCTAAACTTGTTCTTGCAATTGGACGTTTTTTTGTTCCTAAGGCTAAGTCCTAATTCATGCAAAACATATATAAAAAATGTTCACATCACCAAGGCGAAGTGTTTACTACATGCTCCTATGTAATGATAATATGATGTTAAAAAAACACTGGCGACGTTTGATTGACATGGTATGTTCTTGTTTTCTCAATAAGTGTTTGATGAAATAGTAGTTGACCTGATCGGTTGCAGTCGTTGGATTCGTACTGGCAGCTGCCGAAGTACGTTTTGCACACGGCACACTCGTTGCCATGGCTACACCCCCGCATGTGGGTACAGTGGTCGGCACTGTAGGCGTACTTGCCTGTGAGCAGATGACAGGCTACAAGGAAAAAAAAAACAATCAAATGCATGTGTCTGTCTCCCTCCCCCTTCTCTCTGCATCTCCCCCTCTTTTCCCTCTCTCTCTTTCTCTCTCTCTCTCTTCACACACACACACACACACACATACACTAACACACACACACACACACACACACACACATACATAAATACACAAACAAACAAACAAACACACACATTTAAATGTCAGAGAGGCATCATTTTCCCCCTCAGAAACCCCACCATAACTGGTCCTAAAATGAAGTCTACGTGGCCCACCAGAAATTAAAGAAACAGAACATTAACAATTATTAAACCTTTACCAGCCTCAGTGTTGTCTGTTTGCTGTACTGAAGAATAGACGTTCAGCCCTGTTAGTTCGAACTGGGACACAACGGCCGTCATGTCTGTTGTCACAGGTCCGGGAGAGCTGGCGTTCTTTGGACGGTGAACAGGGAAATACAACCCACTATCTGCAGAAGACACCAATAGATAATGTTAGAAATGATACGTGTTATAGACAGCAGATGTTAAAACATACATAAAGTTCATGTTGTAAATGTAATGGTTGCAAAAGTACTATAATTAAGGGTTAATGTCCCTCCCCGAGGTGAATATGGTGTGATAAAGCCTTGTCAGTTGCTATAACCACCGAATAAAGCCACCAAGTGAGCGCAGCGAACGAGGTGGCTTTATGAGGTGGTTATAGCAACTGACAAGGCTTTATCACACCATATTCACCGAGAAAGGGCGGGCCATTAACGCTATTATCATATAGCTTACGCGATAGCCTATCCAAACTGATGCAGTGAAGAGTGACACAATGTACAATTTACCCCTTGCACATGCTGAATAGAACATAGAATATTTGTTCCATCTGGAGTCACCTGAGGTCACTGGGGGGTTCACGTTCTATGGCCTTCTAACTGGGTCACAGGCAGGGAACAGGTGTTCTTATGGGAGTCACCCGAGGTCATCGGAACACAACTCAAGTTATTTTTGGATTTTTTAGAAGTAGAGCCGTGTTCTATTGGGTCACCTGAGGTCATATGCGGGTGATTATTCATTTTGTTTAATGTATGGATTGGAATGAATAAATACCCGATTTTGACTCTATTTGTGACATTACGGCGACATAAAGAATGTGGAATGGAGCCTTCTGATTGGTCAACGTCACCCGGCTATATGATAATAAACATTGAAATCCACTTAAATCTTCAATTCTTGTAGTACACCGTTTCGGCACAAACACACCGCCCAGCCACTCAAAACAATACTTCCAAAAAAGGGGGATTTCTTACATCCGTGTAGTTTGAAGCTGCATTCTTGCTGATCCAATGGGTACCTTGCCATACTGGGCACACAGGACAGGTACAGAGTTCTCCTATGGAATAGGAATAATACAGTGTTAGTATATATGGTCCCAAGTAGTAACACGTCCAGTATGGCACTACAAACTGTAGTACTGTAAAAATAATTTTATGTATAAGAGCAATAAAACAGAGGGGAAATACGTGAGTCTGTGGAACAGGATTCCGGATGGGTGGAGCCACATGCTGATGTCGTGATCGCTCCCTCCTCTTCCGCCGCTCTTCCTCTTCTTGCTGACGTCAGCAGCTCTCCGTACGGCCGCGTCAAACGCCAGGGGAGGGGCCCACATGAACGATGCCGGTACCGGTTCCCAACCGGTGGATAGGCCGCGGAGACGGGCGTCGACCCAGCCCATGCTGTACTCCACTGTCACCGACAGATTCTGCAAACAACCAAATCAACAAGAAATCTGAAATTTCAAGCTTGCGGGATGAATGTAGATACAATTTGCGTTATTGCGAAACTTATTCCGATATTACAACGTGGCTTGTTTATGTTTCATCCTTTCCTGGCGACCGCATCCTTGAACCCGCGGCATACCATGTTAAAACCCTGCCAATCAAGTGAAACCAAATCTCCGCCTACCCAAACGTACAAACCTAGCATAAGCTAGCGCCACCCAAAACATACTAGTACTTCCGTCCATTTCTTATAGTTTATTGCTGCCCCCGAGTATATACAGGCTTTGGTTTCATACAATCCGTTCTATTACATTCTAGCTTGTGTACACGTACCACCTGTTGTTTCTAGTACAGCTGTAGGCAAAATGAATGCCATTCGTAGTAATGGCATTCCTTGAAGCCAAAATGTGCAATTTGCATAAGTCACTGACCGCGTTCTCCTCAGACAAAGGTCCAACATGAAGAATCTTCACAGCCGACGTCACGTCAAATTTCTCTTCTACAACAGGAAAGAAAGAATATTTCAGAAGTTGTTTGTGGTCATATAGATTACATTACCTTACAAAACATTAGCAGAAGCCACATGCCAGTTCCAAGCTACCTTGCCAGTTCTTATAATGAAAAGCGAAGCTGTCAATCTTAACATAGCAACTGATAAGCCCATGGCAACGCGCGCGCAGTTGCGTAACTGGAATGCAAATGAAGGACACCAATATGGCGGATAGTTACCTGTTTGTGGACTGACGTTGCTGTCGTACCCTTGGGGCATGTTCTTTCCGGTCTTCCACCCGTTCCACTCCTCCTGTGTCGCGTTGTCCTCGGTGGCCAGCTTAGACTTGAACGCTGAAGGGTCTTCAAAGATTTTCTTCAGAACCGTCTTCCTTTCTTTCTTCACTTTTGCCTGACTGGTGTCATTGGGTGCTCCTGCTGTTGGCAGTTGGGATGCGCTAGACAACTGCGGTGTAGTTGCTGGTTTCATGGTTGACACTGGAGGATCTGTGTTGGTCGGTTCGGTTGTGCTGGGCTTCGGAGAAATAGTAGAAGTAGTAGTAGCAGTAGTAGTCACAGCAGTTGTAGTAGCATCAGTAGTTATATCAGTAGTAGCTGCAGTAGTAGTAGTAGTAGTAGCATCAGTAGTTATACCAGTAGTAGCTACAGTAGTAGTAGTAGCATCAGTAGTTATACCAGTAGTAGTGGCATTAGTAGTAGTAGCATCAGTAGTTACATCAGTAGTAGTGGCAGTAGTAGTAGTAGTAACATCAGTAGTTACGGCAGTAGTAGTGTCAGTAGTAGTAGTAGTAACATCAGTAGTTACGGCAGTAGTAGTGGCAGTAGTAGTAGTAGCATCAGTAGTTACATCAGTAGTAGTGGCAGTAGTAGTAGTAGCATCAGTTGTTTCATCAGTGGTAGTGGCAGTAGTAGTAGTAGCATCAGTAGTTACATCAGTAGTAGTGGTAGTAGTAGTAGTAGCATCAGTAGTTAAATCAGTAGTAGTGGCAGTAGTAGTAGTAGCATCAGTAGTTACGGCAGTAGTAGTAGTAGTAGTAGCATCCGTAGTTGCATCAGTGGTAGTGGCAGTAGTAGTAGTAGTAGCATCAGTAGTTAAATCAGTAGTAGTGGCAGTAGTAGTAGTAGCATCAGTAGTTTGGGCTGCAATCAGAAAATAAAAAGAAATAAAAACGATGATCAGCAATACAGTCGAGACAGATTTCATTTAGAATTGTGTTTTTTTTAACGGATTCAGCATTAGATTTTGTGAAAGACTGAAGAAGTCAATAAAGTTAGACTATAGATAGTGCCCTTCCTTATCGCAATGGTACATACGAGTTTGTTTAGTAACACATTGTAACATGATTATAAAATATTACAAAAAGGATATTCACCATGGCATTGGTTTGTTCCAGTCCACTGACCATCGTTGCCACACGTCATGATGACGTCACCACCCGTGATGCACTTGTACGTGCAGTTCTTACCAGGCCAGTAGGGACAGATGCATTCTGGTCCGGACGTGTCAGTATTGGGAACAGGTGGAGGCTCGGGACACACTGTAAAATCTTTGAAAAAACAAACAATATAAATACTGTGGTTATAAAGGGTTTCGTACATTGGGGAAAATTAAAGTTGTCATGAAATTTTTAAGCTATACGCTGTGCTGTGCAACAATAACATCCACATGCTAAGAATGGAATGTTCCACATTTTTAAAATGCGGAATCAACTTTTTTGGCTTACAATGCATTCATACACACTGTATAACTTGGACATAAATTTTGGAAAAACAAGTATATCTTACCTTGTGTACAGTTAAACCTAAACTGCCCATTCGGATCTTCTGTCCCATAGCCTACATAGTTAATGTCGAGTGGATTCTGAAAACCCCTTGTCATGAACGGTTCTTTCTCCCCGCCTCGCCCCACTAATATGTGTAGTTCCGTCCTTGTTGTCCAGCATATCCAGAACTTTCGGAACTCGTTTGGAGACAAAATATCTGTATGGTGATAAAGTCATTTGTTTCTAACACATTAATCTACATGTACTGTGATAAAAACGTATTGATATTGACTGTATATTTGGTTCATTGGTTATATAGTCTTGGGCTATCAACATAAAAAAATGAGCGACTAGAAACAAGGGTGGAAAGTGTTAATATAGATTTTCATTAGAGTCAGTATCGGAATGTATTCAATACTTCATTATATATATAT